CCCCCCCCCCCCCCCCCCCCACGTCAAACAAGAACAAACACAGCAGGACAAAAGGGAGTTGCTCCGTGCACACAAAACTGCGGGCACCTTTCTCTCTCTCGACCTAGCCATTCTTCGGAACATTCCCCGAAAATAAATTGGCCAAATTAGAAAACTGCGGGCATCTTCTTTCTCACAGACGAAAGTAACGACGTAGCCAGCAGCCACGCACCTCACTCCCCGTCCCTTCAGCTCCCTCAAGGTGTCCAACACCCCTGGGAAGAGGTGGCGCTCCACGTCGTGCCTCGCCCGTCGCCAGACCTCGAAGCACGACTCCACCACCGGGGTAGGGTCGGCGATCCCCGCCAGCTCGCAGGCCCGGGCGAGGCCGGCCTTCCGCAGCCCGGTGAGGTTCACCGGGGCTGGATCCAGTTCCGGGTTCTTCACAAGCTGCTTGACGCATATGATCAAATTATTGCCGGGCTCTTTTACAAGCTGCTTGGTGCATTTGATCAAATTATTGCCGGGTTCTTTCTACAAACTGCTTGGTGCAATAAAAAACTACTTGCCGGGTTCTTTACAAGTCGGTTGGTGCGTTAAATCAAATGACCGGGTTCTTCACAAGCTGGTTTGTGCACTGAATCAATTTTCCGGGTTACTTACAAGCTGGTTGGTGCATTTAATCAACTTGCCGGGTTCTTTAAAGCTAGTTTGTGCACTAAAACAATTGTCAGGTAATTCACAAGCTGGTTGGTGCAATAAATCAAATTGCCGGGTTCTTCACAAGCTGCGCATTCAAATCAAATATCCGTAACCAAGTACGTTGATAGCATATATGTTACGGGTTCAGTGACAAACAGAATGGGCGGACCCGGTTGTCCGAGGCGAACCTCTCGAACCTCGGCGAAATGAGGTGCAGTATCGCTGGATTCGCGCATCGGTCTGTACCCAGTGGGTTCGGCCACAGTCTGATTGAGGGAAAAAAGCCGGGGTGTTATGCAAACGTGTGGATGGGCGGTTGCATGTGAGGGGGGGGG